GATTCAACTCCAAAAGAAAAATCAAATGCATAACAAGCCGTAGTATCAGAAGCAGGAAACACAGCCAGAGAATTTGACTAAAGCCCAACATTTACAACACTTTTTTAACCTCATCTGTGACCCACAGAGGCCCCAAGGGAAAATGTTGACTTCTCTCAGCTCATGTGTTACAAAAGCTCATTATATTTAAAGGAAAACCTCCCTGGGAAGCTTATTTAATTTAACATCACGGTTCAAGTGAATGGATGGGAAGATAAACAGAGATGGGGATTGCTGGCAGGCAAGTAGGGTGGCCCAGCTTTCAAACTGCTGCAGAATTTATTCACTGTTAAAAAATGAAGTTCTTATAGGTGTCCTTCACATGCAGTTTGGAGTCAATCATCAGTCTCAGCTGGCTTTGGGGCATAACTTGGAGTTAAAAAGAGAAGGAAAAAAAATTCTGGCAGAAGTCCTGAGGACACTTGTCTTCTTCACCTAACCAGATACCAATAAGACTTTTAGGATAAATCAGCAATTAACTAATTTCTGGACTCAGCTGGATGTGGACTAATGGATCAGTGCAAAGAGGCCAAGGTAACCCAGGGAGATATTTAATTTTGTCTCAGTCAATTCTGTGCAGAAAGGCAGTGTAGCAGGCAGCAGCCACTCGTGGGGAGGATGGAGGTTGACTCTCAGGAGTCTCTAAGTACAGTTCTCTGCTTAACACACAAATTGGGAAATGGGATTGTAATCTGATGCATGACACTTTTGAATAATTAGATGTGAGAAATTCAGCATGCACAACAGATGAAGCTGCCAAAAAATGAAGGGGGAAAAAAACTCGGAGAATTTCCACAGTTCATTTTTGATAACATGGAAAAATGGATCATGAGATGAACTACAGTAAAAATAGAGTTAGCCAGAAAACAATCTCCAAAATGCCATAAATGCACAGATTTCATGCCACATGGTAGAAGGAAGTGAACAAAGGGCACAAAGGTTAGAGGTAGAAAGACAAGCAGCTCTTTTTCTTTAACTTGTGGACAATTAATAGTGAGAGTTCTACTACCAATAATAACATTATCTATGAAGTGCAGGGGAAAGGTTGAGAGTGGATTAAATTATCAGTGCAGACAGAAAAAGCTGAGGAAGAAAGAAGCTAAAATTTGTCCAACTAATTAGCCTTGAATGGAGAAGGTGACATGGAAAAATGCACCAAAAGTGTGTGAATGCTGGCTGGAAGCTGGATGTCCAAAACATAATCAGAGAGGATAACAAATTGCCTGGACTTAAGGTAGATAATAAAGACAAACTTGGTAACACAAGAGGGTCTTACAAAAACGGGTGGCAGACGTGCACTGGTCTCAAGAGAACCAGCTGACAGTGGCTGTTGTTTCCAGTAGAGATGAGCTGACCAGGCTGGGGACGTTTCCCAGGAAGGCAAAGAACAGGACATGACTGAAATTTATTTTAAACCCCAGAAATGCACTCTCTACTAAAACTACTGCAGAATGGCAGAAAGAACGGATTCCATTCCACTCCCTGAATGTTTCTGACAACCTGCTAATACCAAAAGGAAGTATGCCAGCCAAAAGTGAGCCTGTGAGCCAGGGAACATAGTAAATGCTGGCACAGAATGAGGCAATACAGGTGGGAAGGAGGAATGAAATCCCAAAACATTTCTGGGGCTTCTTCTGGTATGGCACTATATACTTCAATGTGGTGCAGCAGAATATTTGAAGGGAATGTCTGGTTTTTCTTCCATCCAGATGACTGCTGATACGCCTTGTCCAACTGAGGAATGACATAAGACAAAACTTCAGGTTAGATGAGACTTCAGGAGGTCTCTAGTCCAACTTCCTGCTCAAAGTAGAGTGAGTCGTGAGGTCAAAACCAGGTTACTCAGGGATTTGTCCAGACTGGTCTTCTAATGGTGAAGTGAGAGAAGATGTTTTAGGCCATTGAGAAAATATATCAGGAAGCTACAATACAACCTTGAACCCATTCTGTGGCCTCCTTTTCAAATCAGATTAAACAGGAAATGAGAAGAACAGGTTTTGACTCCCAAAACATGAAAAAAGTTTACTTTTAAGGGTCCTTTCTCAATCATTACAATGAAGAGATGATGTCCTGGATGCTCTAGCAGATTCAATCTCTTAATCTAGTCTCAGGTTTGAAAAACAGACATTTTTTCCTCCTCATGTGTAAAATGTCTTGCTCACATAAAATCTGAGACCAGTGCTTGAGGTGTGGTTATTATCAAGTAGGACCAACACTCAAGATCAGTCATGCCATCCCACAGTGGTGTGTGGACATTGGAAGATTTGCAAGCAGGCAAGTATTGGCCATGTCATCCATGCAAACACCAGCAAAGAGCTGTGTTGTTCCATTTCCCCCAGACACTGAGTTAAAGTATGTTCAAATAGCCCTCCTTCTCCACTACTCCACGTGGCAGCTGAAGAGATTTACAGATGATCTAAGGGAACATTCAGGCCACAATAGACACACCTAAAATTAAACCCAAAGACACAAATCAGTTCAAAAGGGGTTATTATTGTGTTCAGAGAATCAATTAATGAAATTTCTGCTCACAAAGGATATCTGAACCTCAGTACAACCAGTTATTTCCCTCTCCCCATCTAGTCTGAGATTTCTCAGGTTCATTGATTAGTACTTTTGCAGGGTTTTGCAATTCAAAAAGAAGTTTTGTTTCTTGCTCTCCCAGTACTTCAAGGGTTGTGAGAAAAAGGGAATCATTCTAGAGATCAAGAGTTTTAAGGATGGAAAAGGGCTCTTACGGTTGTTCCTGTTCAAGTCTAACCATGTCTTAAAGTCCCTTTCAGGCAGAACCAAAATAACCTGAAAAGGTGGTCTTTTATTATAATAAGGGTCTTGAGTTCTCTGGTGTGAAATTATTGTGCTGCCCAAAGGAATTCCTGGCAGTCATCACATACTGAGCTGTTTCACCTGCATTTATTTGGGAGGAAATCTGTGGTCAAGACTGGCCTTGCTTCCCTATAATAGCTCTTTAGATTCAGACCTTGCCTAAGGTTTGGAAAAACTGCTCTGCCCAGATTTTATAGTTACACATAGATCAGCACACAAGTGTGATAAAAGTGATGCCTTGTGCAGAGGACCTTGCTGGGAAATGATTGCAAACATTACTCTTTCTCAAGAGGAGAAAGTTTTCTCAGTTTCTTTACTGGAGAATCAGGAACACTGGAAAGATATATTGAGTTCACAGTATGTGGGGACACAAACTGCACCAAGTCTTGAGATCTTGGTCAGCAGCCATCCTCCAAAATTATGCCAGTTTGCCTTTTGTTCTCACACCAGTGCACGCAGAATGACCCCTTGGACACGTGTGAAAAAGTGGTGCCTTATTGCTTGGTCCTCCTCCTTTTGTTAGCTGACTCTTTGGAAATTTAAAACCATGAAGAAACTGTGACACAAGGAGAATAAAATATTAACTTTGCCTGCTGTATGACAACCTCTACAAAGTGCACACGTCTGGGGAACTGTGACTGACAGTCTTTTGTGAAAGGTTGTGTTTGAAAATTTGTTCTGTATGGTGACCTCTGCATTTCTGTAGCTTCATATTTGAACAGATGTCAATTCACACAAGTGGATCGAGGTTCTTTTTGTTCTTAAGCATGTTTTTGTTATTTGTTAGGCTGAAGGGTGTTCCTAGTGTTGTTCAGGACTTGAAAAAATACAACATCCAGTTTAAAAGTAGGCATCCTAAGAAAAATACACAAGGTGGAAATCAGCTGGGAATGTAGAAAAAAATGATGACTTCCTCCATATAGTGGGAAGGTCAGCAATGTAGCCTTAGAGGAACTGGGCTTAATTAGTCCAGGCCTTCCAAAAACAGTAGGTCTTCAAGAGGAGTGGAACACATGAGACAGCAGAACAATTCACACTTGTTCAATGCCACTGCAAACACAGAAGGCTTGAAAATAGCAAAAAGCATAAGAAAATTAGTGCAGCCTCTTCTCTGTTGGAAAGGTGGAATCAGGCCCTCTGCTCACACAACCTGGCAAAGTGTCACAGCCACCCAGGCTGGACCCCCCAGCCAAGGAGCTGCCTCCCATTAATATGCAGAAGGTTCTGACTTCACTTACATGATCACTGCCAATCTTATAACTATAAGAATCCTTTTTTAGAAACGACTGATTCACTTCAGCTGACAGGTTATGTATGATTAATAAGCAACATAAGAAAACAATGTTTAATAGTTTAATGCCTTTAAGTACAACGCAAAATTATTTAATTGTACAAATTAAAAATGCTCAAAAGTCTTTGTAATCATACATTTCTAAAATTTAAATTGTATTACTTTGATAATTTGATGTCTAATGCTGAAACATACTGAACACCTCTTAAAAGTTTTGTGCTTGACTTCAACTTCTGAATAATTAGCAGTAGACTTTGAGGACAGCTTCATATTCCACAAGCATGGAGACAGAATTTGTAAAACAGTAATGTTATGAAACAAGCTCATTTAAAGAATGAACTCTACTGAAAACCAAATTATCAATAAAAAATCCAAACATTAGAGTAAAAGCCTGAATCCTTAGATGCACAAGGCTAAATCCTAAAATTTACCTAGACAATATTTAGTATTACATAAGTAATAAAAGTAATAAATTGGGCAAAACTGTAATACTTCCTCTAAAGTATGCTGAGATTACAGTGTGCAAATTGAGTTTGAAATTAACTCAATTGACAACAATCTGGTTATTTTTATTGCATTTAGGCTTCTAGTTTTGTTTACTTGTTTTGCTCCAAAATTCTAGATAAAAATCAAGTTCATTTCCAAAGGACTCTTTTTCTAACTCTGGGGAACAGGACATTTAATATGTGATGAACACCAAGCATCTGCATTCTACTCACAAAATACAAAATAAGCTGAATACAACAGTTAAGCATTTGCTGATACAGTTCAAATAGTGCCAGTGTAAAAGTATTTTTACACAAGCACCTCACAAAATATTTAACATTAAAGTCTAAACATCCCTCTAACTCAAATATGTTTGTGATGTTCCCAAAGGGTTAATATTGTCTTATTTCATTTCTTACATGTAGTAATTTAGCTCTGAACAAAAGCAGCTCCCCGCTGGTTACCTTGGCTAAAGGAAACACAATGAACTGGTAAAAACCAGTTTTATCTCACTGCTGTTGCCTAGGGCTACAGACAAAATGAAGTAAAAAAATTCACATGCAGAGTATTAGGTGCTTATGAAAGATCCAGCAGCGCTGTTGCCTAGTGATTCAGTGAGGAATCAGCACAGGCCAATGAGGTGTTCGGGTACTGAATAACATCCCCGATGGCTGCTTTACATCTCCTGCAATTCTGTCATACACCCCCATGATTTCCCAGTGGTGAGAATCACTTTCAAGGGAACCTGTCAGAATAAAAAAAACAATAAACATTTAAACAAACAAACACATCACAAATAGCAAGATTACTATTTTTGCTTTTCCCTTTGGATGTTGATACTGCTCTAGATTACATACCTATCCATCATGCAATGTTCTTCATTTCTATTAATACTCAATCATTGCAACAATTTTGATTAAAATACCTTAACAATTAAGACTAACCTTTAGTTTTGAAATTGCAAATACATGTTACTGAATTGCAAGGAATATGCTAACGCAAAACTCATCTGATCATGCTTTTCAAAAGAGCTACAAAATCATCATGATGATTTTGATGTTTATCATCAGCAACTTTGTCAGTAATGCATAAAGATACTATGGGTTTTTTTTTTTACCACCTACTTTTCAAATTCTGGGGTATTTTTATTGTTGCTTTGGTTTAATTTCAGTTTGTTTTGCAGTTCCTGGTGCTCTGGTACACAGTAAATTTGCTGACATGAAAGCTGCCTCATTAGCAAGGACTGTTTTGGAAAAAAAGCTACTTCAAAGATAAAGCATTCTTTACCTCAAAGAGGAAAAAGAGCTCTCTCCCCATTAAGACTGTATGTGTGCTCTACTTTAGTGACATTTTGTCTCCATATTAAAAAATAATATTCATATTAACAGAGCACATAACACATATTTAGTTAAAGTAAGTCTGCTGAAGGAAAGCAGGAGCATTTCACAAAAACCTTTTCATCTTCAGCATCTCTAACCCTTAAAGACATATTCTTACTGTATAGAAGGGTAAACAACATGAATAAAAATACAGACTTCTTTTTAAAAGATCACTCCCAATTTCTTCTCTGAGATCAAGCTGTTGGTATGTTATGTTATCTATCTGGCCTTTGTCATTGATCTCTTTGTATGCTTCAGAGGAAGATGAAGTATCTTCATGATGCACGTAGTCTAGCGTGCTGTAGGAGTAAAAGTATGTCAGGACTCCTACAGTAATTTGCTCGGGAAAAGAAGACCAAACAAGGGTAATGAAATGTATCTCTCCAAATACTTCTCTTGCCTACTAAAAAGTCCTGATCTTTGAGCCGCCTATTGTCCAGGAATGTTTCCTTTCACCTATTAAAACATAGTTGGGGGTTTAATTTAAACAGAGAATTATTGTTCTGATAGGAATGGCATACTGAATCCATTTGCTAATGCATCGGGATGAATTTGTCAGTGTGTGACAGTAAAACACCTTAGACAGAGAGGAATAAGACTGTTTGTCCCATTTTGTCCACAGGACATTGAAACCTTCTGCCAGCTAATGGTTAGTCTGAAACATGTAACACGAAAATTATAGTCTGCACATGTAATTTTGAACATTCTCAGTAAGCATGTAAACATTTGTCTTTCTTAGAAACCTATTAAAGTGTTCATATTTATTTCATGGCCATGATTTCCTCAGGCAAAGTATGCACATTGTTGCCTGTCAAAAAGCTACCAAAAAGTCTTCTAAGGAAGAACTATACTGTTGCTATTAGATTTATATGTCACCAATATTACCATATTTATTTTTATGAACTTTATAGCAGTGTGAGTGTAAATACATGCTTTTAATTACAATTAAAAATATTTAAATGTAGTATAGCTTGAAATTAAAGGTAATTAAAATATTTATGTGTAGTATACCTTGAAAAACACTCTTGCTTCTCTTTTTCTTTTGAGGAATTTGTAACAAAAGAAGCTAGGCAAACACAGGTGTACAATGTAATCAACCTATAGAAATGCAGTTTGTAAAGCTTGGGAGTGTTTTCTATCAAGCAACAAAAGCTGAGCAGTAGGCAAGGGTGAAGGGTACCAGTAGAGAGAGAAATATAATTATTTTATAAAATAATTACAATTAGGTTCAATACATAGAGAGATAAAATAGCTATTTACTCAGCTATTTACTCAGTTTTTACAGATGTTGGTCTGATAGATGATCCCCTCTACTTTGACCAGTGACCAAGGATTTCGTCTGCTTTGTCTGTTAGGCACCCACATGGAAATGTTAAATAGACCCCTTTTCTAAGTGAAAATTACTGAAGAAAGATCTTTTGCAATATTTTTTCAACAGTAACAAATGCCTGGCACATCTAGAAAGCCTATTAAAGGGACATATTTTTCACTGTACCACACCCAACAAAATTTCACGGTAATGAATGAAATAGATTTTGAAATTACCATACTGCATTGCTAAGACAATCTCACTTTCCAAAAGGAAGGCTGACTTTCTTTCAGTTATTTTCCCTTAGAATTGTTATAGTAATTTTAAAAAGCAATTACCCACAAATATGAAAATGAAACAAATGAAGTGGAAGGCAAAATAGTTTTTGCTAGATTCTTGATATGATGACGATAATATACAAGGCTAAGCATGCCTGAGACAGTAATGGAAATTCAAAATTATCCCTACCTTTAGTGGCACTTCCAAGGCTGTTGTTTGCTGCAGGGACTCCATTGTTCTTTTTACCAGTGCTGTAAGGTTAATTTGAAAACCTACAGCTTTATTTTCCATGTTAGCATTGTTATGTACATATATATAAAAAAATCACATGCTTTATATTTTCCTATATAGTACTTGCATTTCTGTGTAAAAAAAAAATTACCATTTACAAATTTGTCAGATTATTTTTAAGTTATATTTTATCTCTTATGGAAGCTTCAATTTCTTATTTTAAACTGAATTTTACAGTAAAATTTGCAGAATTATTTAACTTCTATATCCCATATATAAATAAGTACAGCATTAATATATTTCATACAGAGTACATACAGCATGTATGAGTGCTGAATTTCTCAGCTTTTAAGTTCAGTACTCATAACTATATGTTTGGTTACATTTTATACGTTTTAATTTTTTTGTGTGGCCATAAAACTCAACTAAAAAGAAAAGAAAAAGCTAGGGAAAAAAACCACTAGAAGTCTGAACTTTTTAAAATATCTTTTTCTTCAAAGTAAAAAGATCAGAGCCAAAGTTTAAAAAAATCTTCCCTGTGGGATAGTGGAGCTCTCAAGCATCTAAACAATTAAACTTCAGTATAATTCATGTAACTTAACAACTCATCATGCCATAACACTATGCTCACTATTACTGTGCAAATGCATCTGTAATTATTCCAAATCAATCACTTGGGATCAGATTTGTCATCACTGGTCCTGCTAATTAGTGTTTTGCTTGACAAAGATTGCTGCTGCGACACATATTGTTCTAATAAAAATCAAAGAGAGATTGAGTGGATAAACAGTTTTTTTTAAAAAAAGTAATTTTTGGCTAGTGAAAGTGAAATAGGAATACCAGGCGGCCCCAGAACACAAGATATGGAGCAACCTCCACTGCTCTGACAGGATGGATGACTAAATAGTGGATGTGGTCATGTGCCTCACAGAAGTGAGGGACAGCAGGGAATGGGATACGAGGTGCTGGAGCGAAACCCACGTGATTACTGAGAAGCTTCCTTTGAAGTTATCCCCTGATGCACATCATGGCTCTTTGGCAGCTGAGGTTAGAGGCAAAGGAGCAACAAGAACTCTAAGAAGCTGTGTATGGTTGTTGCTCTGGCTGCTGCCAAAACCTCTCCTAATGATGCCAGCAATGAAGAGCAGCATGTAATGTTTGGTGTCACATGGGTGACACTGAGGATGGCTTGCTAATAATGATGAGGATAACCAGCTTCTGCCTGAACAGAAGTGCAGGGCTCAGGCCGTGTTGGCTCACTCAGACTTGCGTGCTAATGAGCTGTCATGAGCTTTTCCATCAAGTCCAAATTATGCAGTAACTCAAAGGATCAGCAGCTCAAATGCCAGAGCTGAGGAAACCAAGACATTTGTTGACACATCTGTGTACAGTTACACCTATATATTTGCTTCATGTTAGATTTGAGGTAGTTCATGGTCCAGTGTAGGACACAGCATCATTTCTGGAGTGCAGAAACAAACATTGCAACCGCAGATTGTGAAGGGAGAAGTGCTGGCCTAAATAATTACCCATTTGAAATCCAGTCCAAGTCAACATGGCTATTAATAGAAGAGTGTTGGACTGAGAAGTCCACTCTGAATTTCAACAAGCTGTCAGCTCCAGGAGGTCAGCAACACAACAGATGCTGGGGCACCCCAGCCAGGTGGGATGCCTTCAGAAGGCTAAGTGGGTGGCCATTAAGTCCTGGATAAACATTTTTTCCATCAGTAAGCTCCCTAACAGGCTGCATGAGAAGTGCAGAACCCAGGTGTTATCCTCTCATAGCCTGCATATGCACTGAGTTAGACCAGTTTCCCCCTAGTTCTCTAGACCTCTGAAGCTGACTACTTCTCTCCCATTTAACTGTTATCCCCAAAAGGGGATTCATGATGGCAGCAATGATTGCAACAGCTTTCTCTGTTGGTTGACAGACTTTTCGCTCTAAGGCATCTGGCACAGTCAGAATTCTGCTGCATTCTTAACTGCTCTTAATTTTAAAAAGCACAGATTAAAATGGCCACATCAGTGAACAAACCCAATGGTTCCTCATTCACTTTGACAACCATTAAAAACCTCTCCACGGGTTTGCTCCATTTTCTTCATTCCTTTTTTCTGTGTCAGTTTGGCTCCCTGTTCTCTTTCTCATGTCACACTGACTTCTTCTCAACCCAGAGTTTAGTGGGTGGCATAGTAAAGCCATTCATTTCAAGCAATCTGAGTTGTTGTGCCTGCATTTCAGCCTTCTGAAATCACACCTTTGCAAATATACAAAAGATGTACCTACATCTACTTTACCACAGATTTTGAATGAAATAATAAGTATATAATAAAAGAAATATCAAGAAAAGGCAGCTGGATTGCCATTCATGTTCAGTCGTCTGCTACAACAGTAAACAGGGAAGAAGGAAGCATTTAAACTAAATTACAGTCTTTGCACAAAAATAAATAGGTACAGTGGCTGAATACATTTAGACTGGAAATTTAAAGTTCTAGATTTTAGAGAGATGAAATTCTGGAATAGTCCCTAGTGGGAGTAATTTTTCATATGGAGATGAAAATTTATAAAGGAGACCATATGGCATGGGGGTATGTAATCGCAGGATAGGTCCCCTTTAGTCCTATGTACATAATATCTTAATCTCATGCTACTTTCTCAAATCTCCTTGAAACTCTCCTCTTTCTCAAAGCTCAAAATAAACAACCAGACATACACAACTCTGTCTTCTTTATCTCATATACATTTTAGAGTGTGGTCACTAAAAAATGAACTGCAGCGTTTAAATAGATGTCTCTACCACTTTTAATTTTTTGTTTCTTTTCTAAGATTTAGATTAGAGGCTTTGGGAATAATAATTATTTCTGTTCAGTAGAGAATCTAGTATATCTGGGGCACATAAATTATTAATTTTAAAATGTTCCTTTACAGTCAGCCATATACTGCAATGGCATCTGTAAAATGCTGCTCTCCCAATCCTTGTAATTTATCTCTCAAAACCTGGAGTCAGCAATTAGGAAAGTTGTTGATTATACTCATTCTGAAATGCTTTGTAAGTGCTAAGTATGCACACTAAAATATTATGTATAAAAAAAACCAGTGACAGCAAAGTTAAAAGATTATAAGGGAACTGAAATTTTAATGTATGTCTTAATGTATATTAGATTTTCTTGATACTGGCCAGGATAAACATGGTTATTGAAAGTGCTGTGAATAGGAACAAAGGAAAGACACGCATGCCTGCTGTGGAACAAAAGCTTATTTGTCCCTACCGAACTGGAGACATTTTTCAAGCGCACTCACCTATGAAATTATGATTCCAGAAACATGTCAAAGCTGGCCAGACATATGATCTATGGAACAGGGATTTTTGCACATTGAAAGCTATCTGGAGGCATCTTTAGTTTATGCACCAGTGTTTTTCAAGTCAGAAAAAGGCAGCTCAGAGGACAGAAAATGTCACTAACTTGTGATGACCAGTTCATTCTTTTGTTCTTCTGTTACTTGAGTCCCCTTTTGAACATATGCACATTTTTATGCAGCTGCCTCAGTGCACATTAAGTGGGAAATTGTAGCAAAATAAAATGAAATTTCATGGAATTTGTGTACAAGCCAAAAATTTGTACTGGCAGATGATTAAAAAAACCTAAGATACTGTTCTTTAGGTAGTAAGATTCTGAATTTATAGAACAGCAAAATAAATAGGCTTAGTTTATCTTTTTTTTTTTTCCTTAAACTGGTCCTTCTGGTGTTCTTAGAGTAAGTATTTCAGCTGAAATATTTTATACCTGGTAAAATATTAGAAGAATTGTTTAAAACTCTATGTTTTACATGTACAAAATATAAGAACAGATGCAGAAAACCTTTCATTCTATCAATAATGTATGAGTTCTAAAAAAACCATCTTTAAAAATTACTCTAATGCACTGTGATATTGAACACAAAGTACTGAAATACATATATTTCTACAAAAAGATGTTACTTCAAAGTATCAAGTGTCTTTCATTTAATTATCACTAATGGATGCAATTAAGCAGGCAGAAAGACATGGAAGAATCCACGGTAATCACCACTGGCAAAGTTCACCTTTCAAATCCACCAGGTATTTATAGAACACACATCAGAAGACAGATTTTACAGCTGTAACTAGAGGTATCTCTTTACTTTAAAAAAAAAATTGTTCTGCATTTCTTCACCCCAAAGTGTATTTCCCCCTTTGACCAGTAATGTATTCAGAATAATCCAAGGGCAAAGAGGCATTTCAAGCACAGCATGGAGTGGCAGTGCCAGAAAGAGTCCCCACAAAATGAAAAACTGGGTTCTGCAGTTCCTGAATACTCTTCCAGAGTCCCTAGACAGACTCACTGTCTGATCTGGGGACAGTCTGTCTACCTGATTACACAGACTTCAGAATTAGAGATGCTGAGGCTTCTCAGATCCAAGAGCCCAGTTTTTGGCATTCCCAAAATATCATCTGCCTTTCTGCTTCCTGGGCTGCTGGAGAACTCAGGATGTGAGGAAGCCAGACAGGCAAGCTGGCTAGAAACCAGGCAGATTATTGACGGTAAAGCTGAGAGTCTTCTGCCCAAACCAAAAGAGTTTCTGCCAAATGTTTTGATTTGAACATCCCAAGCACCCTCTAATAGGAAATTAGGATTGTAAAAAGCTCTTTTGCTGTCATGTTCTTGCCCTAACCAGAGAACTGAGGGAAATAATATGCCATATCTTTGCTGAAAATTACACAATTCACAGTAGTAGGTGCTTCATTGTATTTTGAACTGTGTCAAAGCTTGGACACAGTTATAAATAAATGATGTTTTGCCTTGTCCATTCAGAGTGAACCATATGCATACTATAAAACTGTGGGTGACATTCTGTTGGAAAAAGGTATTCTTGCAAAATATAGATAACACCTAACTTGTTACATGCAGTGCTTTGTGCAGAAGCAGATATTAGAGAAAAAGAACACCTTATTGCATACCTCTTGTTTATCAGATTTAAAAGATTCAAAATCATCTGTGCGTTATTAGATGCACTATAAACTGGATTTCTGTATACTGAAAAGTACTGACAATTCTTACTGGGGCCTATGAAGTCCTAACCACAACTAAAGAAAGCACCAGTATTACAATTCCTTGTGGCAGTTCTCAGCTCCCATTCACGAGAGTCTTAGAAGCAAATAGACATTTTAATTTTGTATAACAATACAAAGGAGACACTTCTATGAGGGAAATGCTGCTGAGAAGGCTTATGTTCTGCACTATGATCTAATGAAATAATACTATTTACCTATATGTTCTCCATTTATAAATCTTAAAAATATTTAAAGATTTCATATCCATTCTGCAAATAAGAAAACAGAGACATATATTTGTAGTTGCTTTCTTGGAAAAGTAGATCAGAAGCATGACTGGAATCAGAATGCAAACACACTGAATAGTAGGCCAGTGCTTCTTGGATCACACTAAATGCAGGAGAATAACACAGCACTGAACTGTAGTCCATTAAAGCCCTCAAACACTGCCCTTTAGCTTTAAGTCCACGTCTTTCCCTTTACTGAGCTTTGTGACTGTACAACTGAGATTTCTCTCTGGATCATTAAACTCCTGGCTGGAAACTGCAAGTCAGCAGATTCTGTAATTTAAAGTTTCTGAATGGACAAAAGCTCATTAGATATGTAAAGACAAAGCTGACAGCTAAAGAATACTGGCAAATAAAAGTAAGAAGAGTAAGGGTGAAAGAACTTTGGGTAAAGAGATGAAAACCATATTTTGACTTTCAAAGCACTAAAGTGAATTAGGAGCAGGCATCCTAGTGACACTTTTTTGGTTTAAATTCTTATACCTAATCTGTTACCTCAGTTAGCAGCTCCTGAAATAATGGAAAAGATTAGGAGAAAAGAGTGTTCCTATTTAGTTTCATCTGAAAGGAATCTAGGTCAACTGCTCTCTGCTCTGTGATGTGAACCAAAACGGTTCACACCACAGACTGGGACAACAGGCAGATCTGCTTCAGCATGTACTTCTGACTGGAAGTTGGATGCTAGTGCGGATGCACTCTTTCTCTGCCTATTCAGATCAAGCAAAATCCTCATTAATGACATTGGAGAAGAGCCAGCTTTGGACCCTTTTAAGACAACTGGGATTAGTTTTTTTACCAGTACTAGCACTATTCACAAAACACAGTCAGGGAGGTTGGAAGGAACCTTTGGAGGTTACCTGGTCCAGTCCATCTTTCATAGGGGCTACGTAGGGTTGGTTGCCCAGGAGTGTGTCCAGAAGGTCTCTGAACACATCCAAGGATGGAGAGTCCACAGCCTCTCAGGGCAACCTTTGCCTGTGCTCAGTCAACCTCACAGTAAAACACCGTTTCCTCATCTTCAAAGGGGCCCTTCTGTGTTTCAGTTTGTGGCCACTGGCTCTGGTCCTGTCACTGGGCACCACTGGAAAGAGCCTGGTTCCCTCCTCTATGCCCCTCCCTTCAGATATGGATATACTTTAATAAGATCCCATGAGCCTTCTCTTTTCCAGGCTGAACTGCCCCAGCTCTCCCAGCCTGTCTTCATTGGAGAAATGCTCCAGACCCTTCATCATCTTTGTGACCCTTCGTTGTACTTTCTCCAGTCTGTCCCTGCCTTGTACTGGGGAGCTCAGACCCCAGTGACGAATAAAGAGGAAGGAAATGAACAAATCACGAGATGAAGAAGGAAATTAATGTCTTACGTTGGCCTTTTGTGTTAAGAATAAGACATTCTTCTGTTCTGACATAAGTGAGTATATCTGAAAGTTCCTGTAATGCAGAATTTTCTTTTTTTCTTTGCCTCTTAGGGCAAAGTAGAGACAAATCAAAAAATCAATCTTCAATCAGCAGAATGAAACAAACTCCCACGTTGAACACTCAAGCTTGGCAGCCTACGTTAAGTGCAATGACAATTTCCAAGGTATCTCACACCTCTAGAACTGCCCGGGTCCATTTTCTAAAGGTCATCTTAGCAACTTCAATTACAGGGTGATAACTCTGAAGCACGACAAGGAATTTACAGATGTGTTTGTTCTGCACGCTGCAGCTGCACCTGGAGAAACATGAACTGGTTGCTGTGTGGTGTGCACTCCAGTCTTGAGTGTTTGAACCAGACTTGGTGTTTTCAGAAAAAAGCCCCCCAGTCATCACGTTTCTGTAGTGGGATAATGTATTACTGGTGTCCATACAATAAAGCTTTTTCTGTTATACTTGAAAAGTATTGATTTTTCCTGAATTTGCTACAGATTCATACTAGCAATACAGGTCAGAATTCGACCCAATGAGGGAAGAATCTCTGATTTTCTAGATGTATAAGCAACCATGAATAATTTTCATCTTTTGGGTATAATATTAGCTCTATACTTAATGCAAATTGATGCAAAATAAGATAATAAAAATTGTTCTATGATCTCTTACAGATTTCTTACAATATGCTACACTTTCTAATTCTGAAAGTATGTCCCTTTTAGACATTGCCTTTTCTGAGTAGATACTGCAAACTCAAATAAATTGTATGGTGTTTTTTTAATTTAAATCAGATTTGAACTCCTCTAAATAGAGGTCAAATGTTAATATATTAACCTAATTCATTACAATGCCTCTAATATATTGAATTGAAATATTTCCCAGGTAGTTTGTTTAGATTAGGTGGAGGTTTAATGTTCTCATTTTGAACTAATACTAATACAAGAGGGATCAATGATGAAATGAGACTAATATAGCAAATTGCACTGTTCAAATGAACACAGCACAGGAAGGTGAAAATTAATTTTTTATTAGATGCTTAGGTTATAATGAAAGATATTTCTTGTATGGTTCATTTAAAACATTTGTGACATTATGCTAATTGTTTCAGCCAAACATGTTGTTGAGCTTCAAACAAGACCAAAGTTTGTGAATAAACATTTGGTGCCTACAGGAATAAATCCACTACTTATTGGAGAAGAGACCAAACAGCCTCCTATGTGGCCTCTCTTGTGAACTAAATTTGTACCAGATGCTGAGATAAACTCTGGCTTAGGAAATAATGTCTGGAAGTAAGCCAGACAAGAGGATAAAAATGTAGGCTGGAACTTTTCCTAACCTTAACCTTGAGAGTGCCATCATAATGATTTCTTAATATTAAAAAAAAGCAGTAAACTAACTTGGAAATTACAGTACATTACATGGTTACATTAAGAATTTCATATTTCTTTATGTAACAGGGTCCAATCTAAAGTATTTAGGAAGTTACTTTCCAAACCATACTTTTTTAAGCTGGTCTATTTCCTTCTAAAACCCTTTAAAACCTTGGAGAAAATATTATTATTTAGTTTTACAGGATTCACACACCGGATGATGGAATGTTGATAAGAAAACTAAATACAAATAAGCATGGTGATGAATTCCAGATGATAAGTATATCACGTTTTATCTACATAAGAGCCAGGGGTGGAAAACATTCGGAAAAATTTGCTTGGTATATATTTTCCTAATTGTGAGAATCCATGTGCTGCTTCTTGCTACATTAGCTCTTTATTCTCTGAGAAATCACAGGATATAGGGAGTAAAAATGAGGTGGGAAGGAAAGAGTAAGATAGATTGTATTTACCTGAAAATTCCTGGATTTGAGAATCTTCTACTTCAAACAACAATTCATCATGGATCTGGGCAATTAACCTGAAAAATTTCAGAGACTTTAGATAACATATGCAAAAAATTCTTTCCATTCTTATCATCAACTACTTGTCACACACACAGTGATAAGTTAAAGTGAAAATAAACACCCAAAGAAAATTAAAATATTGTGAATGGATTTAAAAGAATTGCCAGTCCACATATTCTGCAAACATAAAGGCCATGGTTGTAAACCCAGACTGTGCTTGCTAACTTATAAAAGTCATACAGGGATTTGATGACGTGACAAGGTATTACTTAAAACCAATGTAATTTGCAGAAAAATGCAAGAAATTATGGAGACAGGTTATGGTTTGTTAACATACCTTGGTTTTTTCAAGTTGAGCTGGAATAAATGTAGTTGCAAATGGGTGATTTTACTAATGAAAATGTGGTCAAAATTAAAAGTATTTGGCTCACTGATATACCAATATTAACTCCTAGCTGTTCAGTGACTTGAGTCCTTTCCAGGAAATAATGTTTTCACTTATGTGCAAAGTGGGTTTCCTCATGCTGACAAACAAGGGGGTTGAAGAATGAAACTGCAGGCACATACACACAACCTGATCCAGTGCCTGTGCCATCAGGACAGTCACCTTCCTAAGGACAGAGTGTACAGTTGAAAGCAGAAACCCCATGAAAGCTCAGCAGCTACAAGTGCCTGAGCTCTTCAGGTGGAGCTGTTTTGTAAGGAAATGTAACTGCTGCTTTGTTTTTCTCTTTGTCTGCCATATTGATAGGTCTCTTGCATATGCACTGTGACTTATTTGTAGAGTGCTTACAGGAGTAGCACCCTAAATTGTTGGTTTGAACGCAAATGAACTTTCACAATGGCAATGATAAATGTATTTGATTGAATTAAGTCCACAGCAGAATAGATGCAATATAGCACATATAATCCCTGAGTGTAGTAGTAGTAAAAATACAGTATACCTGATTAGGCTTTATTTCTATTAGATCTATTTTATTACTTCTTTAAGTACTGTAGCTGGGAGTGTAAGTCATAAAACTGAAACATCCATTTCCAAATTTCTTTGCAATTAGTATATAACATAAGAAAGACCTGCACCTGTTAGAGCAGCTCCAGAGGAGGCTATGAAGGTGCTCAGAAGGCTGGAGCACCTTCCCATGGGGACAGGCTGAGACAGTTGGGGTTGTTCAGCCTGGAGGAGAAAAGGCTCCAAGGAGACCTTACAGAACTTTCCAGTACCTAAAGGGGCTACAAGAGAGATGCAGAGGGATTTTGCCAAGGGCCTGGAGAGACAGGACAAGGGTAACAGCTTCAAAATGACAGAGGGTAGGGTTATAGATTGGATATAAAGAAGAAATTCTTCTTTATGAGCATGGCGAGGCACTGGAGAACAGTTGCCCAGAGAAGTTATGGATGCCTCATCCCTGGAAGTGTTCAAGGCCAGGTTGGATGGGGCTCTGAGCAACTTGGTCGTGTGGAAGGTGGCCCTGTCCATGGCAGGGGGTATGGAACTAAGTGGTCCTTTCCAATCCAAACCAAACCATTCTGTGATCCCATGATTTAAATTAAATGTCCATTGTAGACTTTTCTTAATACCTAGCAGTTATTCAAGTAAATACTTCTTTACAAATGGCTGAAACATCAATATGGTTACTAGTAATAACTTTTCACAGTTTCTTAAGATAGTTTCACGCTGCCTTAAATTACAATGTGACATTGACTAACAGTGTGGTGAGCTCTAATAATAGCTCTTAAATTATTAGTCACTTACAACACAGTCAGAAGCAGAGGGAAACAGATTAACATATTTCTAATAGGAAATTGGGACACAGGATACAAAAAAGAAATAGATGAAAAGACCAGGATCATCTGTAGCAAGAGAATACAGTTACATGAAAAGTTATAATTTCTAATGCAAGTAAATTAATTAAAGCAAGAGTGTCCTCATAATCACTGAAATGACATGTAAAAGATATAAATCAGAACAGTGAATATTAAAGATGAATAAACTGTGAATCAATGGAATAAGTGAAAATAATTGCATTGATTAAACCAGTGCAATAAGAACATGATAGACTGGTTATTGTATGTACCAGAGTAGTGTCTCATGCCTTCAGTCAGGATAAGAGCACCATATATTCTGAATACTTAGTAAGGAAAAGTCCTTTCTTAGAAGAATTTACAATATACATAAAAATTTCATCATAAATTTATCAGAACTTAGGAATGGAGGAAAAGGATTTTCAAAACAACTCAGCAAAGTTTCTACTGATCACCTCATCTCTAAAGGAAAAACCGCATTCAGGAGGAGCAAGGTTGGACCAAAATTAAGTGTTACCTTCATGCGTGCCCAAAAACCTGTGGAAGCAATGTGAATTAACTCACAATTTCTGTATGGACAGCAAAATAAACTTGACACAACTCTACATACTCCAGTTCACGTACTGAAAAGAGCACAGGTCTTTTAGCTTGGTTCTCCATCTGGGTTGGAGGATCCTGTTTCTCACCCTTATCATCCTGAATAGCACAGCCCACAGCTTGGTGACATTGCCAGTTAACTCAGGAACTGCTCAGAGATGCAGAGTTACATCTACCCCATCTTAAACATCTAGTGATTAAATTGAAGTTCAGGACAGTGTTTTGTCTGCTAAACACAGAACTAGAAATTCACATTTGATGGTTCCCTGTCTAGCTCTGCTGCTTTCCTAAGCAATGCAAATTCAGTTAGAAAATGGGGATAATATTTGTGAGATCTAAGAAATAAATATTTCTAATACACTTCTATTGTCAAATGAAAGGTATTACATAAGATTTAATTAACGCTAAATGTGATTTCCTAGATTGATGCAAAGAAGCGAAATAGTATACACTATTTCCTCCTTAGCGTTCATCAATCAAGTTAGATATTTTCTTGATGATCTCTTATCTCTTTTTCTTATTCATTTCACATCAAATTAACAGGTTCTCCTCTTACAATCTTACAGTACAAGGCCACCTGTATTTTTTCAGGCTTGTTAAAGTAATAACACTTGCATGCAATGTGCTGTTCCACAGAAGGAAGCATTCAATTTGACAGCAATACACATGAAAGAAAAAAATCAAAGCAATTTATACATTCAAAATTCACAGCTTTCACCATTCCAGTGCATGCACCCACCCAACCATTGCACACCTTGAGTGAAAGAAGTTTAAAAAAAACCCTATACTTTTCCTTAACAGCTTAATTGAATCCTCTTCACTTTGAAGGAATATTGAAATAGCAAGCTCCTCTCATTAACTGTTGCTAAGAGGTATGGCCAGCTGGATTACAAACTGCAAACCAGGCAGAGACTAGTATTTTCTTTGTTGTTGTTCTACAGATGATAAGAATGCCTTTGATTTACAAACTAATATTTTATTAACTATTTTCTGGATTGCCTGAAAATTAGGCAAGATTGCCATGGTAGCCTTTATCAGAGGCTGGTTTTTAACAGCCACATGTAGTGTTTCGGGACATTACAATGTGCCAAGAGTTCCTCAAACTAATTAAATTCATGCTCCTTCTATAGACAAGGGATTAAGGTTGGTTCTGACTTAGATGTTCTGAACTGACATCTGGAAAAGTCCAACTCTATGCATTGACTCTGTGGGGGTAAAATCAGCCATTTTCTACTAAGACAAGGTTTTTGTCATTTAAAAAAACACCATGTCCCTGATCATTGAAATTGTGAACATTTTCTGAAACAGTATTAGATTTCATATCCCAATTATTAATATCCTTGTAATCCCCTGTAATCCTATGCAATCCCTTTTTCTGACATAATCAAATCAATGATCAATAAATAATAATCCAACTAGTAATATCACATTTTTCATTTTGAATCTGAAACCTCTAAATGCCTAATGGGAGACTTCAAAGCTGCAGACACAGGAGTACATGGTTAGAAGTTTTGTATATAAAAATAAGTTTAAAAAAATCCCCAAAAAGCATAAAAGCTTTTAAGTGGCTCGGAAAAAAAAAAAAGATAAAAACAGTAAAGTATTTTGAAATCAGACAAATAGGGATATATGAAAAAAACCCCAAAACCAAACAACAAAAAACCAATGAAAATAAGTTTTATGTTTTGTAACTGAAAAGAAGAATTTAATGACTTGAAAATCTGAGACATTCACACTCAATAAATAAATATTTAATAAACTAAAATATTGGTTTTAAAGGCATATAATGAAAGACATTGTCAGAAAAAGTCAGAATGGTTGCTCATGTAACAAACACTTGCATGGATTTCAAGAACATTTAGAAATGACAACATACAATGAATTTGTGGGAAGACTTTTAAATCTTATGTTTCAGAACTTAGACTCATCCCCACAAGTAGAGGAAGATGAAAATGTGCAGACAGACAGGCTACCCTACTACAGATCTTACACCTCCCTCCTGAAGCATCTGCTACTGGCCACACTCAGCAATAATGGGCCAGATGGATGTTGGATCTGATCCTTCTTAGAAATATCCATGTTCCCTGCACTAAAACACTATTCATTTTTTTTCTGATACTACTAATACTACCTGTTATTTAGCTCTGCCACAGTTTCCCCACAGATTCCAGTGGACAAAATGCCTATTAAGTTGTCACGTAACTAAGGAACAAGGTTATGATAATTTTATAATATTTTGTAGAGTTTCCCTTTTGTTTTTTTTTTTTTTTTGAAGCTGCATCTATCAGGATTTCTAATGTGGTACTATAAAAGTTATAGCTCAAGATACATCATGCCTGCATAAATGTCACTTGCATTAACTTTAAGCTACCTCTTCCAGTGTTTCCATGATAAAGACCAAGATATTTTAACATTTTAACCATAAAAATCCAGCTGATTTATGAAATTGGTTTTCTCAGTAGCTACATCATGAAGAGAAGGAAACTGAACAGATGGTTAATTAAAGATAATAGAATTTTTGCATGTATCCAAAGTGTTTGAAAACATACCAATCTAAAAGGTGACCTACAAAAGGGTTTTATAAATGAAATACATTTATTTGCATCCAACAACTCACATAAAGGAACCCTGAAAAACCTGCTACATCGTGAATGTCCTTTTTGGCTGTGATATTTAAGCATATTAAATATATTTCGTTCTTTCTATAAAGAATAACTGACTTGCTCTGGCTTACTGTGCATGAAGTGTTCAGGTAACAGTTCACCATCTTGTGGATGCATGTAAAATACTGCTTGAATGCTCAAGGAAAGTGATGGTTTTCCTAAGTTACAGCCTGCCTAGAAATTCAATGTTACTTGGTCACTTTGGGAGGCAAAGAGCTACATACTGGTCTGGGACAGCAGCTATGGAGAGTTCCCAGTCATTTCTGACATAGCAATACAATCTGGGAACTTCTGCTACTGAAACAAAAGCATTTGTGTGTGAAACAACAATCTTACTCTCCTCTCAAGCAGAATCCAAAACTTTTATCTTTTCCTTGTGATTCTATTTCTCCAGTATTAGGCTATAGGTAAAAGTTGACCATCTTGCTAGAGTTAATCCATATCCTGGGTGGGAACTGTGGGCAGAGTACCAGAGCAATAAGCATTTACTTGAAAATCCTGGTTAACTGGTAGAGAAGAAACATGAGTAAAAACAATTATTTAATTCCTGAAGAAACAGATAAAGGGAAGTAAGATTTATGCTCAGAGTTAAAGAAAATCAACACACATAGCAGCAGCTCTAAGCATTTTACTGAATGTATTTGGTTGAAATTATGATGTAATCATGAAGTTGGGTTTATTAGTATGCCTTCTTGTATGAATCTGAGAAATGATAAGAAGTTCATAAAGTAATAATGATTGAATCCCTATACACCTTATAAAAATGCCTCTGGATTCTTGTGTCATACTAAAACTGAAGCCACTTCCAACAAATGAATCATGTGTAATTTATCACATGACTTGTATCTGAAAAAAATCCAGGTCACATAACAAAATGCTTGTTCCTGGGATGATAGGGGCTGTTTCTAACTAATTTACCTATCTGCAGAAGTGAGTTGCATTTACAGCTCACCAGCTCAGAAAATCATTAGGTTGATTAAGGAGTTTGTTCATTGAGGAAGACATACAAAACCTCCAGCATCCACTGCTATTGAAAAGCAGCTGGGACCAAGAAAATATACCTTTTCCTTTTATTTGCTGGTGGTTTTTCCTTTTCAGATCCCTCATTTAGATCTGGCCTGTGGCTGAACCTCTCTCTTTAACTAGGCTCCGGACATGCTAAGAAGTGAAGCTGTGTGTTCGTGGCACAGGTCCAGTGCTGAAGGAACAATAAATTGGTGAGAAAGTAGAATTTCTGGATTCACACCAAATTATTCAATAGTTCTGTAGACTTGTTAAAATTCATTTGCATGTTGTTGGGATATTATCATCTTTAATGACTTCCTCAGAAGTTCATGTAGCATCAGGTAGACTTTGGGTAACCATCAGTGCAGCTTCAGCTTGCAAAATGATAATATGTACAATCATTGCTATAGGCAGCAATTCTTCCACAATTTGCCAGCATCCTTCTTTCTCACCAAGCTTCCATGTGTCTGCCACTGCAGTGATGTTTTAAACACTGAAAAGAACTACAACTGTCCATCTGAGTTCATTGAGTACCTTTACCCTCTCATCAGTTCCATAAATCTTTCTTTCAGCTGCTCCTGCATGCCTTGATCTCACTTCAGAAGTTTCTTTGCTATCATCTGCCTGCAGGAAACATCATGTGGAGGTTCTGTGGATTGCATCAGACAGGTAAAAGCTGGCACTTGAATAATTTATGCCAGCAGCACATTTTCAGCAAGCAACTTGGCCAGCAGCAGCAGAACAGCATCTTAAGAAAGATCTAGGTAATATGGAAGAAGTCTGAAGAAATTGTGATTACTTGTCAGTGCCACACAAAATGCAGATACCAGTAGCCAACTCATACTAATATCAGATCCATATCATATGTGTTGCATTTAATGCTACTTTTCCTGGTTTCTGTAAAATTATTTCCAAGTAACTGATTGACTTTTTACTGTCAAAGCATAACCTGCTAGGCTGGCATTTGAATTAAAAGAGGAAGGAACACAAAGAGAAAAATGAGACTGCTAGTTGACAAAACAGAATTGATCAGTCACAGTGGAATATCCTGTTTCATCAAGAAGGCCTCTCTGATGAAGCCTCATGAAAATGTGACTTGATTACCTTTCCCTGACTTCCAAATGCAGTATCATATGTGCAAACAATAACTGAAAATCTACAAGCTGCTAGTCAGACGAAAATTAAGTTTCACACTGTTGGGTCAGAGCTTGCTCAGAGCTGAACAGCTTACAGTGCAGAACAATGAATGCAGTGCTGTGAGTGAAGACTGCAAACTAACACTAAAAACTGTAAGACCTTACCCAGAATTATTTTTTCTTTATTTCCAAGTTAAGGAAGACAAAATGTTGAGCATTAGCCAAAACTTAGCTATGCTTAACGGGATACTGTCTCCCAGTGTAAATGTTCATAAACACTTCTAAAGCCTGTAAAAATTATATTTCCCTTTGATATGCTGTTCAAAGTGAAAATTCTGTTTCCAAAATTAGAAATTCTAATAGGGAAATAAAGATACTTACAAGGGGTTGAAGATAGAAGAAAAGATAGTAGTGTGCTATCTTTGGAATGAATATGATCTGATGGGATGATAATAGGAGATTGATTATATTCTCATTTTGGAAGAGCTACTGTGCATTCCCACTGTTACAACAAGAGCACCGATTATGTACACACTTCCTTTTAACAATATTTTTCAAAGGGCTTCATAAAGGATGTTAGGATCATTATCCTAACTTGACTGATAAGAAAATCAAGAAACAGACTACTGAAAAAATAACTAACTGAATGTCACCTGGCAGGCAAGTGGAAACACAATATTTCAAGTTTCAGTCCCATACTCTTTTGGCAACACCCCACTGATGCTTTCAAATGCCACTGTCCAAACTGGTGAGTGTTCACAGAATTTATAAAGGCATTGATTGTGCTTTTCTGACAAGTCTGGCCATAAGTACCTACTAAATATTACAGCAAGGAGCCATTATTGACTATTAAAACACACTCCTCTAGCAAAGCCATCCAGTTGTTAATGGCTGGCAGGAGTTCAAAATTCTTGTTTAAACTAGTCTATCTCTTTGACATGTCCTTGCAGTTTTGATCTTTCCCAGATGTGACATTTATGATAAGAATAAGCCGGATAGGCAGTGATACTTTGCTGTTGTCTGGTGTAGCCATTCCCCTATGCTTTCACAAGGAATTTCAACATGTAAAACTCCAATATTTCCCCATATCTGTTACCTCCTCAGCCATTTGGTGACACTACTTCTTTAAAATAAATAGTTTTGAGAAATAAAAACCCAAGCAAAATTTTCTGCTGAGAGAGAAGAAAACATTCATGAGCTTTATCAGACATGACATTTGGCTTTCTCAGACAACAAACAGCCAGTTACTGAACCTAAAGATCTGTGTGCCAGGTAGGAACTGCAGAAGGGAGTATGTTCTTTGCCCTCTCATCACCTCCACTTGCCTCCCCTACTAAACACTGTTGGCTACTCCTGTATCACTAATCTAACTCGAAGTTTTGCTTGCTACTGATACAGAAATTTTCATCCATGCCACAGCCATCAGATTCTGGTCTCTTCATTCAACTCGGGTATCAAAAAGAATTATCATCAGTGCAGAGAATCTGCCTGAAAATGTAGACTGCAATATGTGATAGTGCATCATCCAACATTTAACACAGAAATGTACCATTGTCGGAATGCAGGCAGGATCTCCACCAAAGAATCATTTCCCATTTCAGATCTGTACTACCAAGAACACTCAACAGTTTTATTTGTGGCATAGGAACAACTCTAACTTTGAATTCAAAAAGTGGAATTTATATTTATAATTAAAAATTACGTTTTCAAACATGGATCAAATAAGACAACACCACTGTGCGTAAATGATACACATACACACACACACACACACACACACACACAGAGTATTTATAGGCTGGATATAACACATAATTGCCAAGTATATTTGGAAGGCCAAACCCTGTTCCTTTGTAACCTAAATACCCACTGAAGTCCTTAACAGATGATTGCTACAGCTAAGTTGTTATTACCCCTTCTAGATGACAGAAACACTGATGTTCTGCACTATCTGCTATCTCTGTTTTTATTTGAACTTCTACTGCACAAATTCATGTGCCACTGGATTGTTTACTACAGCATTACACAAGATGAGAACCCATTTGTTTGGGGTTTTTTTGTGCCTGTTTGACTTCAAAGTATCTTTCTATTTCAGCAAATAATAATGCTCCTGGCTCTCTGCACCATCCCCTCCATCCTTTTTACAGGAAAAGTAGACTTCATTATTTCTGCTAGTGGTGTAAAACTCTTGAGGATGTTCTGTGATCTCTTGCCCAACTCTCAGCAGTCACAGCAGAAGAGAATCATGATGACCAAGCTTTTCTTTAGCAAAGAAAAGTCATCTATACAAGAATAAAAAATGTTCATTTATTTTGCTTGAGTACTGGTTTCCTGATTCCTGTTTTTTTTCCCAGCCCATTGAATGTTCAATTCCCACTGTACAATACCCTCAAAATACAGGAAGGATATGATCAGTGGGCTTGATTTCAAAGATGCAGAACTACCACTGAACTGGATCTGACTGAGTTTAAATGGCCCTGGGGCATTTTATTGCCTTGGGATGGATTTACAGATCCAACCATTAAAGTACAAAGATGTAACTTTAAATGTATAAAACCATCTCACAAGTCTTTGCTTGTTAAAAGATTCAGAGGCATACATGACATTTCTACAGTTGCTTAAAATGCCAGAAATATATTCATTTCAACCAATTTTGTTTTAAGAACAAACAGTTTTGCAGTCATTCATTACTAACCTGGCTGTTAAAGTGGGAGAAACGACAACAGAGGTAAAAATCTTCACCATAGCCATTTTACAAAGATCAGCTGCAGAGCCTATGAAAGAAAGTGATCTGCTTTTAATTTAAAGCATGCAAAAGGAAAACGTTCTTCTTGGAACTATGGCATAGGAATGAAAAACATCTGAAGATTCTGAATCATAAGAATTTTCAAAACTAGCAGATCCAATTAATGTAATATGTAAAACAGACTATAAAATTAATAAATAACAAACAAAATAATTACATGTTAATTAAAACTAGAAAATAACAATATGAAATTATGTGTAAATTAAAGGTGAATTTGTCAGTCATAGCTATAGGTTGAAAAATTCCTTTTTATAAAAAAAAGTCTGAAATTATCGAAGTTTGAATTAAAATTTATCTATAAATCAATTAAAATTTATTATCACAAAAGGTCAGAACATTGTTTCAGTGCTGCATTTCAATTTGGAACCTTAATTTTGTACTTTTCCATATTTCCATGTGTATATTCATATATTCATTACATTACAGTGTTAAGAGCAGTGGTGCATAAAACAGTGTCATGGTACATAATAGACAACACATTTCTGGTGATCAAGAGGCAGAATGATTCTCCAGCTTGGTGAAAGGCTCTGTTCTGAACCATACATTTGACATAAAAGATTTATCAGATAAAATACAGAAACAATCCTTTAGGTAAGGATTGGAAGCCATAATCTTCTTTGTCCCATCAGATATCCTAAATGTCCAAGACCACAGACGCTGCCCTTCTCGCACTCTGTAACTCAACAAATTTTGAATTCTTTCTTCCAAATGGTTCAGCTTTCAGAGTAGGGATAAGGAACAGCCAGGTAGGCAGATCATAAGGGTACTGTGCTGGGAGATACTCATAGAATCATAGGATACCCCCAGTCAGAAGGGACCTATAAGGATCATCAAGTCCAACTCCCTGCTCCTTGCAGGACACTAAATCTGAACCATATGTCCAAGAGCACCATCCAGACACTTCTTGAACTCTGTCAGGTTTGGTGCCATGAGCACTTCCCTGGGGTTGGCCCTTCTGGCTAAGGGAGAATGTCTAAGAGAACGAGGACTCAGACTTAACAGCTCTTCTTCCTCCACAGTTTTCTGTGACAAACTGTCTCCTCTGAATCCCATGCTGAGACTGTTTTGGTCATTGACATTTGGTCATTGGTATCAAGTGCAGACCTATGGCTGAGAGATGGCAATGCCTGACTGCGAGTTTAGCCTCAAATACTTGTCTTGTTTTCCTGGTCAAATGATGTGTCAAATTGATTCAATACATCACAAAAAGGGACACGTTGGTATAAAAGGTAGGAAAGGATGTTTCAGCAAAGGTCAGGTAACTTAGTGATCACGAGAATAAAACTATGTAATTGAGCATTTACTCCATCACAATACATACATTCTATATATATTCTTCATGAAAAAATGTAAAGTAATAAAATATAAAAGAATTCTCAAAATAATTTTTTCTGAGATATGATCTTTAGAGATAAGCTACTTTAAATTTTTAAAAAGAAAATAATTATACATCCTTCTGGTTGATTTTGTCACAACTATAAATAAATGATAAAAGATAAAATGAATGGTTTGCTCTATGTGGATAGGTAGAGTTGAATTATAACTGAAGAATATATGCTGTACATTGGTGAAAACTACTGAACAGCGAAATATCCAAAAAGAGAAAAAATGAAAGAAGTGTGAGAAACCCAGTTGCAGGAAGTAAAAGCTGAAACTCTACATTCCTCTCAATATTGTCATGCATCAGAAGAAGTCTTCTGCTACCAGTTGCTGCTACCATAACCAAAATGCAAACTACTTAAATTAATCAGACTATTAGGTACAGCTATAGAACACATAAATTAAATGTAGTTTAGTTCACTAACTATGATAAAAGGTTTTAGTATAATTTATTAAGTTTTTACATTCCTAAAGTATTATCTCATGGCTGAAATCCTGAAATTAAAAAATCATTGTAGTCTAGAATGAAATTTTTTATAAAATTTGGGAATACCAAATATTTTAGAGTTTTTCATCCTTGTTTTATCGCACCTTATAATATCAAATGTTTTGAGTAACAACTACATTATTTTTCATCAGATTTGTCCAACGATGAACTATGACAATATTATTGTAGGTACTTAGGAATGAGTGTTTGGTAGACAGTCCTGTGATAGCTTTGCCTCAGCTCCAGCTCTTGGGACAGATGGACAGAGCAAGTGCTGCTCAGAGGGCCGTGTTTCCTTATTAATGGTGCACTGTAAGCTCAGCAGGACTCGCTGTGTTGGCTCAAGCATCGAGCCTTCACCTGGAGAGGCTCCATCCAGCTGGATGGGAGCCAGCTAAACTGAGCACGAGGCTCTGGAGAAGGCTGGACAGGGATGCCCATAAACCTTTCCTGCAGATCTTACAAGGATATTTTAAAATTCTACAAGTGGGGGCCTCCTACAGAAAGGCACTGTCACTCAAGCACAACTATCACTCAAGCAGAAGGGTATATATTAGAATTCTAGATCTGTAGGTGTCCTTGCAGAGACAGTACTTAAAGTCAGTTACAAATTATAAGGAGTGTCAAACATGATATAAATACTTATGTCATTTTAAAGATTAAACATTAAAATGAATAATATTTGGAGAGAGAAAAAAAAAACCAGCACACAATCCTTTCAAAAGGAAAATCCAAATCACTTTATAAGGAGCACTCCATCACCATGTCTAGAAAGCACTTTTCACTTGCCTGTAAATTGTACACTTCCAATATAACTTAAGGAAAACCCTGTCAGCATCACTCAATTAAAATGTAATTCTTCCAAGGGATAGCTTGTTAGGAAGCATCTCAGTCTGCGACTGGCAGCTCAGGTTGTTTTTTTCCCTTGGGTAGCTAAACTCTGTACACAACTGAACACCAAGTGATTTACACAGAGTATATTAATGCATCAGATTAACTAGCATGTAAGCACTTACTGCTGATTTCTACATTTTCAATCTATATGGTAAATTGGCAATGTTTTTCTCTGAAAAAATATCTTTTTTCTTGCCCTTCACAGAATTAAGTTTGAATGTTTCTTACAACGAATGAGTTGGGTTTCAAAACAAATGCTAACAACACATGACTCTTGTAATGTTTTATATTTCTTAAACTAAAGCTATCTGGCAAAATAAAAGCTAGAATCTGTAAGCAGCATAATTACAGAAACCCTTCTGGAATAACAAACTATGAAAACTAGAAAGGAAAATGTTTAAATACAACAGAGCATCAGAAGAACTGAATTCCAGATATTCTCTCTTTACACAGTACGTATTATTTAACCACCACAGAACACTCCAATGTATCAAAACATTTATACTGTTGTTGTTATTATTGTTGTTGTTGTTTACTAGCAATTTCCAAGATAGTCAGATTACATCATTTTAACTTCTCTTTCATAGTAAAACCTCACACTTCCTCCAGCAGACTACTAAATGTTCATTCTTCTGAGATTACCAGAATTGTTGCCCACTAAAGGCAAGCAGAGATGAAGAGACAGGTAGATAAGCAGGAAGGTAGGGGGGGCAGTTCTTTACCTTGAACAACAAAATTGACAGCCTGCCTCTCTGCTTGAGTGCGCAGTTTGTAATCCTGGGCATTGATGTTGGCCAGGGGTCTTTTGCGTCCCATTATGGAAACCACATAACCTGGCAGGATTTAAATAGAAATTAGTATTCTCAGAGTGATTAAATTTCAAATATTCTTTTTGAAGATAATATAGATATTTGTAATTATGTGCTGTCCGAGTCAATTTAATATTTTGTACTCTGAAAACAGACCTTATTTAAACTTTAAATGCTTATTGTATTTTGGATGTAATAATTATTTCACTCAGATTATTGGTACATGTTATACAAGGAAAACTTCTGTTCATTAAAGCTGTATTTTCATTAGGAATGTCTACTGATAAACCACCGAACTCTCTCTGTGGGAGATGAAACTATAAATACCTAGCAGAATTAGCTATCTATTAGCAGCCATAATTAGAGCTTTCCATGCAATGAGTAGTTTACTTGGGAATAGTAAAGAAAAATCAATTTGTAAAGTAATTAAATCAGTAATGAATATATTCCAAAAATATAAAATAGTTTTGGGGAAAAAAACCACAAATTATGTTTTTTTTTTCAATTTTCTTTATGTGGCATTTCTGTGTTTCTTTCACAGCCAAACTGTCTTAACTTTAGTGTGGTGGGGGTTTTAGTTTAAAAGAAACATATGAAAACACAGTTAAAGTTTTACATTAGGACTAATGATGTACTGTGCTAAAAAAACTACTTGGGAGGGCAGGAGAGAAGAGTCGAGAGGGAAAAGAGACGTGAGGATGCTCTTGTCAAAAGAACACATACAAAAACTTAGCTTATCTTCAAAACTAAACTTCTTATTTTAAGAAAAATTAAAAGATCATCCATGTTAAAAATAAATCTTTAAAAAAAAATTCTGTTATAGTTCTGATCCCCTTGATTACCCATGAATTGTCATTATATGGAAGTTCAGTCTGCCACGGCTTCATTTCCTCTGTGGCAACCAAGCCATGCAAGCACAAGTGGTAAGGAGACCTCTTCAAAGAAAAGGTTATAACCTTACCATGAACAACACATACTCAGGTTTATGTGAAGAGGAAGAAGATGGTTCTGTTGAATTAATACTGCTTTCTGTGAATTAGTAAATGCTGATACCAAAAGTACCAGTTTTGGAGCAAGGAACTGAATTATCTGGGGGTTAGGATGTTCTTTGGCAAATCAGTCCTTCCAGTTTAACTAAGATTTTCCACAAAGAACAGTATTTAAAGAAGGAACTGTTGAAATATTATATTCTCAGGTAAAAATAGATTTGCTGTAATCTCCTTATTCCCATGAGGTGTGACTCCAGAACAGAATCGCCCTTGCAGTACTCATAACTGATCAGCATCCCCAGACAAATACCATCATTCATGTAACAGTGGCAGAGGATGTGTCTGGGGCCAATGATTAATCTGCAAATACATATCTGAATGAGGTCTTAAAGTAGTCTTTTTAATATGTCAACAATTTCATTAAAAACCAACAGCAACATAGTAATAAATGCAATAACAAATATCTTCATCAAAAATAATTATTTATAAGCTTATCATATCTATATGGAATATCAGACATTCATAACACCTAAATAATATTAGTAGGGTGGATGCTGCTCACCTTTGAACTGCAGATAAAGAAAAATTACCTTAATATGACCTCACTAGGTTGGAATGTTTTTGTTGGAAAGCTAGAATCTGAGGTGGATTAACAAGAAAAATATTAAATAATGCTGATCTGCTGCAGATTTTTAGAGGTTGGACAAACTAAATAGATTGCTCTTCTACTATTAATGGTTAAAAAAATGGTTGATAGACAGCAGTGCAAGGAGGAGTAAGAAGTAATTAAAAAAGTGTGCCTTGACATTAGAACATTAGTCATGACACTCTTGTCTACTGAACTTATAAATCAGATTTTTTACCACAGAGGTTTGTTTATTGAAATGCATTCATTTTTAAGAAAAGAATGCTGCTATTTTAAATAGATCATAAATATATAATAAACGTGTAATACTGTGTAATATTTTACTAGGTACATTATGTTGGGCTCAATTCTAGCTGAAAATATATTGTTCAGTAGCTTCACTTTTCTTGACTACCATTAATGAATGAAGGAATGCAACTGCATGACACAATGACAGCTCATGTTACCAGCAGATTTTTAGGCCCTACAAAGTACAAAAAAGGAATACTACCCATTTTCATGACTAGAAGTCAATTACGTTTCTATCGTCACATACAATGATGAGTAACATTATATTGTAAATTTACTATTTATTTCTACAAAATGTCTTAGTACTGCGTGCCCTATTAAGAAACAAAAGAACTCAATTTTGACAGTTCTGCTAATTAGCTTTTAAAAGACAATATTTCAAGTAGCTATGTTTTCTCTCCTCAAATTACTGCACTCCTAGGATTCACTAAATATAAATGAATATGTAGACTAACAACAAATTTGATGCAAGAAGAGTTTGCAGCTGCTGGCTCCAAGAAGCACTCTGCTCACATCTGTCATCACAGCTACCACCTGAACTTCAAGCACATAAATTCTGACTGATGCAAATAAAAAATAAGTTTTAAAAAATTGCCTGTGTAATTGGCTGAGCTTCCACAGTCCAGCAGCCATGTAGCCTATTTCTTAAGTAAAAGACTCCCTGGGCTTCTTTGTGTTGGAGTACATCATATGTCAAAATGACGCAGTGTAACCTGACATGAAGTAGGGTTCACTCTGAGAACAGATGTCTTACTCTGTTAGCATCTTTCTGAGAAAAGGCAGACAGGTTTAAGCAGCTCCTTTTAGGGTTAAAAAAAGAAACAAAACCCCAAACCTGATTCACCAAGAAATGATCTTCCATCTTTTTTATTGTATTATAACTATCAGAATTTGGGTTGAGCTGAATGTTTGTCTTCACCACTGTCAAACAGTGCTAATCAGTACATTAAATGTGGTCACAGACTTTGGATTACCTTTATTTCGGCATTGCTCAATGGTTTTCTTTGTAAATTCATGCACTTTCTTGTATTTTTGCATAAAACTTTCTATAAATTGACTGGCTTGAAGAGGAGTAATTCCCAAGCAGTCAGCAAGACGTTCTTTACCTGGTGGTAGAGAAATTATCTTTATTATGCAATAAAGCAGAACAGAAATCCACTATATACAATAGCACTGTTACATGCACAATTACTGGAATTAACTTTACTTAGCTCTCTCTGTGAAAGAGGATGGATCTGATATACTACAGTCACATTTCAACAAAATAAATGTTTAACTCTCAGCTTGAATGTTTTACTGAAGTTACTGGACTAAGTATATAATTAATAAGAAGTATACCAGAATTTTGTAGTTAAGAAATTCCTAGTAAAATTTATACCTATAATGTGGTTGAAATCTTTTGTTCACAGAATAACTCTGTGAAGCTTTAAGTATCATTTTATTAATTCAGAGTAGAAATCTGAAAACTTTGAAGAGTAGATAAAGACATGAAATCAATTTTAAACAAGCACAAATATTAATGAAGATCTAAAAGGGGATTGAGATGCGTGAGGTTGAGTTTAGCTAGAAGCTTTAGAGTTGGTGTCAAAATCACAAAAACTTAACTGCTGAAGTAATCAGATCAAATAGCCTGAATTTAGAAAGGCCATTAGGAGACTGAGTTCCATGGATTTCAAACAGGCTTCTCAATGTCTGTAAAAATCTGTGTCCAAGTTTTGAGATAAAAGGGTAGAAAAAAAGAAAAAAAAAATCAGAAAAAAGTGTTTCAACAGAGAGAGAAAGGAATAATAGCTTTTGGACAGAATATAGGTACACAAGATATATTACGTTGGACCTAAAAGCACTTATAAAAATGTGGAAAAAACCCGAAGACAGTTTTTCAGAGTGTGAAAATATAAACTAAGAGCTACAGTTGAAACACATTTATAAACCAAACAGTTCCAGCAAAAATAAAACATACATCAACATTAGTCATATGAAGTTTGAAAGACAGATATATTTGTGTCAGCTGCACAGCAACACAGAACCAGCCCTGTGTCTGCAAAGAACATAAGCTGAGAGGCGACGTCTCAAGGCATGAAAGGCACAGAATAGTCCTTGTCACGGTAATACTGTCAAGAAAAATTATCTAGCACTTTTAAAAGAGAGAGGATTTCAGCCACCTAAATGCCATCACTGTCAGTCTGATGTGCATTTCAGAATAATTCTGTAGCATTTTGTTCTCAGTCATGCCAGGATCTGCACTGAGCTGCAGGAACACCAGTCTGGACAAGGGACTAGAGGAAGACATTCACAAGACATCCAGGATGACACTTGCTGAGCTATTATAGGTCTGTACTTTTTTTTTTTTGACATCTAACTAATTTGGGTTTTCTTCCTGGGTCAGCAAATGATAAATTTATCTGCTAAAGCATATATTGCTAACAGCTAGAAGACTTCTGTAGTTTCCTTAGAGAACTGTAACATCTAAGTTTGTCCATGTCATCCATTTAAAGAACTATTAATATAGAGAACAAAGTATTGCATAAAATACTAGGAAAATTAAAGCACAAAATTAGCAAGGACGTCTGAAAGGTCCCAGGGAAATACAGTTCCTGGGAAGCAAAGAGAGGTGAAGGCACAGCCACATAATTGTGTCAGATCATGTTCCACAACACAGGAGCATAGGCTATGCCAAGTAAAGCCCAGGAGTGGACTAAAGCTTCCCTGAGCACTCTCCTTGAGTTATCTGTGCCAGGGGAATTATTAGTAGCAGCTGGTGATTCAGTGTTCTCCATTCTGTAATACCATCTTTCAAAATTGAAAATAGCATTAGTTTTCATTTAAACACTTTGACATCCCTCTGTGTCAATTTAGGGCATTGAATTGAATTAATTCCTTATTTTACAGATGTTTAAGTTCTCCGTGTTTTAGTTTTAACAAGATGACTGAGGCAGAAGCAGGTGAATTAAACTGCTCCAAATCAAGCAAAAGTATTCATAGAATCATAGAATATCCTGAGTTGGAAGGGACCCACAAGGATCATCGAGACCAATTCCTGGCCCAGCACAGGACACTCCAAGAATTGTATCATGTGCCTGAGAGTATAATCCAAACAATTCTTGAACTTGGTCAGGCTTGGTGCTGTGACCACTGTTCTGGGGAGCCTGTTCCCACATCCACCCACCCACCCTCTGGGGGAAGAACCTTTTCCTAATAACAAACCTTCTTTCTTTATTATCCTCCAGAATTATAGAAAAGACCTTGAAAACATAAACCAAGGATAACCTAAAGCTAAGAAAACAAAAAGAAAAAAACCACACTATTTACTACATGACAAGTTTTCATTAACTCCTGCAAGCATAATAGAGGCAAGCTCCTCGGGGAATGTTTATGTAGTTTTTAATCCTAAAAGAAGTATTATTCACACTCTTCTGTTGTATCAAAATGTCTTCTTAATGAAAAGTGAGCCATCTTTTGAAGGGAGACAAACTGTGAATGGAATTCAGTCCATCAGTTTCAGGTATCTAACAATTACTTTTTGTCAGCCCAGTTTCCATCTAAGTAGTTTAATGATATCATTTCATGTCTTAATTAGGAACGGATCACACAGCTAATGAACTGGAAACATCTTATTATCTTTGAGGTGCTTCAACTGTCCTCGTTTGAGAGAGAGGGACAAAAGCAAGTGAGTAAAGGAGATACTTAAATCAAGAGCTGCTGCATCAAAATGTTCAGTGGCTGTTTCAGAGCAAGTGAGGGAGTGCCAATACTGTGCTTAAATCTAATCATGGAAGTTCTCTATAGCATGAGTAGAAAGACAAAGGCTTCACTGAAAGAGGCTCTAGCCCCAGTAACTGAGGCATTTCTGACTATATACAGAACTACAGGGCATTCAACTGGTGGTGATTCAGTCTGATTACATCTGGTATCTGCTGTTCCACCCACAGTGAAGGGGACAGGAAATGTGCAGCACGTGCATGGAACAAGGGGCAGGAGTGCTATTGCTTGCATTTTGTAAAATAACCCTGTGATGAAACCATTCAAGCTGGAAATGGGAGTCCGAACTTACATTGCAGGGAACAAGTGTTGGGCTTTTTTTAATGCAGATTTTAAACACAGATGTTTAAAATTAAATACAGCTTAATGTAAAAATGCAGGTGTGTGCATATATATATATATTTACTCTTATATGTGTGTATATAACCCACACACACCCCTATACACAAAAGAGATATTCTGGAGAGCTGAATTTGAAGTGTTTTTCTTCCCTTCCCAGCTGAATGCCATAAACAATAAATTGAATGCCCTGGCCAATTCTGCCTTTGGTTCAAGGACGATTGGTGACTCAGTGCAAAAGATGGTTTAGAAAGCACCTCAGGAACCCAAGATGCAGCATTAAGTGTTTACAAGTTACATATAGCCTGCAGCCCAGGACTCTCATTTACTAAATGAGTTTTTCAAGTACTCATCTTCTGTAAAGCTTTTGGATTTCTCCAGAAGACCTACATAAAGTTTAGTCAGCTGTTCACTAAATCCAATTCACAACAGCTTGTAGGTTGATGATATACAAACATCTGTCTCCCCAGAAAAGGTAATTCTAACCACGTGTGAAGCATTAGGAGAGTTGGGCAAAATTTAAGAAATGGGAGGCAGTTTTGGAAAGTACGTCGAACATCGTGACTTAACTGGGACCTGGGCTGGACTTAGGCAGGATGGGGAACAGTGGGTTTCTGGATGGTAAAGAAATGGCAGTAAACATTAAGACTCAAAGTAGGGAAACACTTTCACACTGTGAGGATAACCAAGCACTGGCATAGGTTGTCCAGGGAGGCCTTTCTCCAGCATTGAAGACATTGAAAAGCCATCTGGACACAATCCTGGGCAACCAGCTCAAGGTGTCCCTGTTTGGACATGAGGGCTGGATCTGATGACCTCCAGAGGTCCCTTCCAAGTGCTGTCATTCTGTGACTCTATAAATGTGCTTTGAGACAATACTGGAATTCTTTTAATTTCATTGCAGTTATTCTCATCTCTACCTATATACTGAGAGAATGCAAAGTACACTCAAAATTAAACTCATTTTAGATAAAGCAAATGCTTCAGTTACATCAGCAGCAAATAAATACAAAATCAGATAATCTTTGTATATGGTCATTTGATAATTTTGCTACTGGGTAGATAATTTAATAATCCTTGATAAAAATAAAAATGTAATACCCTGACAAACTTTTACTTACCTTTAGCAATTCAGTCCACTTATATAAATTATGTATAAAGTATAAACTTACTGCAGCTGGAGTTTTTTTGCTATAAAATGCCTACCTGCTCCATAAACCACTGAGTAAACGATACGCTTTGCTTGCTCTCTATCAGCATGTTTCACTTGTTCACTTGGAATACCTTTCCTAAACAAACAGACAAAAATCACACATTTTCAACTAAAAGTAATTTGTTATCCACGCAGAAAATGTATTTAGAGTCAATAATCATTTAATAACTACAAAATTGTAAGATGTGAACAGAAGCACTTAAAGGCTTTTGTTGTCAGCCAGGAATGCACAACTTCTTTACAAATTTTAGTGGTGACAGTCCATAGTAAATGAAAATATTTAATTTAATCTTAATCTTCTCCTTTCCTTTTCAATCAAATTTTTGGCTAGCAAAAATCCTACTACTATATTATTAGTTCTTTAGACTGAGGAGAATTTAATATTGACCCATAAGAAAAATTAGATATTTCCAGCAACAGCATTTCTTTAAGATGTGAGAGTCTAGAGACTCAAAGCATAAGTCTGACCTAAAGCTGGTTTTAAAAAGGCTATTATTAGGGTTTCACTAACAGGAATATCCAACCTCTTATCAAGAAATGACTGATAGAAGCATGCACTGAATCTCTCCATATGCCTTACAGAGCTCCACAATAGCAGGGCTTCACAGAACAGCAGCACTGACTGTTTCTGAACCAGAGAGTGTAGTTACATCACTCCCAGCAAAGTATCATCCTGCCCCGTTCCCATTCACTGATGCAAACAGTCCTATAAAGGGCTAATGGATTTAGCAATGTGAAAAATAAAAAGCTGTGACTCTGCAATCAAGTGTGTGCCACCTTATCCAAATGCAGCTTCAGAAAGGATGCTGACATTATTGACAACTGAAAGCACTGAAGAATATTGATCACTTGGTTTAAAGGGAAGTGTACTGAGGGAAATCTCGATCATCTACTCACACTCTGAAAACAAATACCTACAGAAACTGTATTTGGAACATGGGAGATGAATTGTTATCAGAGATATCTGATGACACTTGTACCCTTTGGGAATAAGTTTCCTCATGAGTCTGTTCATTACAATTTGGCTGCATTTTTAAAAGCAAAGTTTGCTGTGGTTTGTTATGAAAGGTTTTTGCCATGACAGATGCTTTGTTGTGAAAGTTTTGGCTAAAGTGTTTTGAGAAAATGTAGGTGTATTCTTGTGTATCTTCTTGAAGGAGAGTCTTTCACCATTATTATGATACTCAAACACCTAGAAAATCAGCAAAGCCACCAATTTTTGCTTACTTGGCCCATATACTGATTTTAGTCTGTGCTTAGTGCTGGTATAATCAGGCATTCCGAATGTTAAACAGGCAGGCTTTGAGTGCAATCAGATTTAAGAAAGTCCTTAGGGTAGTACAGATTTTTTTGAAGAAGAAAAATAAAATTGAACAGTTTCAAACCTGAATCAGGCAAATAGTCTTCAGTTTTGTAGAAGTTCACATTGCTCCTTTGAATGCTACTAATTGCTCAAAGGTAAAATGGACTTTTCACTGCTCAGTTTAGCTGAGAAACACGAGGAATTGGATAATTTAATACAGTGTTTTCCATATGTAATGAAGATTATTCCCACTCAAGTCAATCATTCTGCTAGTTTGAGATTCTTATAATTTATTTTCTTAGTTATGCCAGGTCAAAAGTTCATGGATCTTCTGAACAAAGTAGGTTGAGATTCCCAATTGTACCTGAGTAAGAGGACAAAGTGGCAATTGGAGCTCATAAGTGCAGAATTAGGAAACTAGACATCATTAAGGATTTCCTGAAACAATCTCCAGCAGAAAGACTTCAGGAATTAAAGAACCTGGCAGAAAACTATATAGACACTTGAGAAAGCATTTATCCAGAACCAGGAGAGAAAAAAGAATCTGGTAAGAGAGCTAATCTTACCTAAGGACCTTTCTGAGATGCAGAACCAAGACTGAAGAATGCTGAAACCAGGGAAACCATGCAAAATGTAATACTGCTTTCCTAGTACTGCATAATTTGATTTGCCTGGAAAAGGCAAGAAATAGGAAAACGGTAACAGAATTTACTTGCAGATTTACTGAAGTCAGAGGCTAGAGACAACTGAGAGGCACTGAATATGTCAGCTGCTCACTTCTCTGAAAAAGAAGGGCTACAACAGGAAGAACACAGTGGGTAAGAAGTCATGTAGAGAAACAAGTTTATGTAGAGAAACAAAATTCTCAGATCACAGTACTGAGGGAGACACAAGGTGAGACTTGTTGGGAGGGACTGGTGGTACTAGAGAAATTTTAACAGTGAAAGATGACACTAGAACTCAACTATGTGCACAATGAGAACTGCTGCCAGGATTCTGAGGATGATTATGCATTATCCAAACTTCAGCTTGAAAGGGCTGACTGGGAAAAACAGAAATAGTCTTATTGCTATAATCATGATTGGCAGTGTCAGCAATAACAATAAAACCTTGCCTAACATAATTATCAGTGCAGATGTACATGCATCATGTACTCATGGCAACCCAACAGTCACTTTGCATTTCCTGGTCTGTGGTTAATCATGAAACACTGGGAAGAAATGAAAATTTCAGAGCTTTGTGTCAAATATTTCTTTTAATATAATGTTAAAACCAAAATGGTCAGTCAACACCTCCTAGTGTGTCAGTGGGAAATGTGAGCACTGGGCAGAGAGGTACCACATCTATCAAACTGAGTATTTGCAAATTCATGTACCACATGCAAGAACACATAATAATAAAGTAGGAAATTGCTATATAAATCAAAACTGCTTGAGCAAACAGAAGTCATTAATCAAAACTATTCATTCTTTTTCCTAATAAATGCTTTTTTTCTGCTTGTATTGACAATGATTGGTTTCTACTCAAATGTTTGATTCCTTCTGTAATACAGAGCAGCATTCCTGCAGTTTGAGTTAAAGGATATTTATTCCTTTGAAAAACAAAATTAAAGGGCAGGTGTATAATTTCTCAGAATTGCAGCAGCCATGTTAGAAATCCCCAGTGGGCTTTCTGCTTCATCCTGTTTCCTCAACAAACTAATTTATGTTTGTTACAAATAATTTGTTTTAAATGGGTACTGTGAGAACCTATTTAGAGATAAAACTTTTCTTTTGTCTTTAGATTCATGGAACACCATAATGTTGAAAAGAAGATATTGCTACCTGCTTATTTGTATAAGAAATTTTTAAGCAAGCCATCCAATGCATGAAAATACTCAGTGCTGAATTAAGGTAGGATGTAAAATAGATCTTTAATGGAGATGTACTTTTTTTTAATAAATTTGAATCTGGAAAAGGAAGGTGAATGGGCATAAAGCAGTCTCAGATGCTGGGCAGTGGCACTGAGGCAGTGACTCCAGCTCACACAGCACTGTGTGGGCACCTGGAGAAAGAGGAAGAATGTTATTGCAATGTTATAGAAACTGCTGCAGGAAAAAAGCTCAAGCGTAAAAAGAATTTGCTTCAGATTTTGTTGTGGAAATAGCACAATTTCTGAAGCCCTGCAAGAAATAAATATACAGTTACCAGTCCTAGCATGAAGTGTATTTTTCCATTATATGACATCGTTCTCATTACTCGTTCCCACATATGCTGGGAAAAGTTCAAGACCATAATCAATAGTTTCACCATCTTCAAATCTCCAAATGTGCAGTACTTCACCTCCTACATTTCTGTCCTTGCCTGCCTACTTGTCTCAGGTTATTTCCACATCTCTGACTTGTTTGTCCTTTACCTTGCTTTGTTTAGCACTGCTCTGCAAGTACTTTGCTTCAGAGTACTTTATTTGATAGACATCTACTAGGTAGAAAAAAGAGCAGATTTCAGTGCTAGAAGACACGTTCAGGGGAGCAGATCTCATTATCCTGGGAAAGAATTAGCAGAGCTAAACAATCTGGAAAGGTCTGTGAGGACAGAAAAACAACTTAAAGCCACAAATTGCAGAAAATCTAATAAACATTGTGAGAGTAGAAATGTACCAAGTCTTTTAAAAGGTGGTTCTACTAAGCACTGGGCTGTATGCCTAAAAGGGAATAGCTGTCTTATTTGGAGAGTGAAAAAGATGGAGAAAAATTTTCCAGCAAACAGTATAGAAGGATATAATCAAATTATTACTAAGAAACTAAGTGCAGATATGAAACAAAAAGAGGCATAATTTATTACTTTTTCAAAGCAAATATCTTGAATATTTTCATAATTTCTCCAAAAGTCACTGTATGTTTTCATATATTAATGGGGTCTAATGGACATCTCAAAGAGTTTGTACTGCATTAAGTCTTTAAAACACATGAATAACAAGTTTCTTTATGCCCAAGAAAAAAAATTAGCAATCATATTTGTAATTTTAAAAAAGCTTAAGTATAAAGTGGAATAACACATTTAATACAGAGTAGAGATCTCAATGGATTTATTTTTACCTGTACTGAATATTTTAAAAATATTAAAACAAATTTTAGGTTATGGAAACGAGCTCACACATCATAAAGTATATGAACACATTAAAAAAAAATAAAAATAAAAAAAATCAAAGAAGCCACAGGGCAGAAAGTTTGAGCAATGCCAAAATAAAACTTTGAGAACAGGTAGAAATAGGAGGAAATAAGTCTTAAAAGAATGCGATAAGACATTCCAGAATTTCTGAGAAACGCTGTATGGTGACGGAAGTCGACTGTTTATGCACAGGAAAAGGCAGAACAAACTTCTCAAACACAATATCTGGCAGACATGCATTGCCTTGATCTGCATTACATTCCAGCCAAGCTAAGCTCAGTCATAATAGCCACAAACTCTTGGCTGCTCTCTTGCATCTGCCAATTAATCCAAGTCCTAGCTGTGAGTTGTTGATGTGGGAAACGAGATGGAGTGCCATTAAATTCATTTTATATGTGGTCATTAGTGTCCAATAAATGAGTGAATGTATGGGTGAATACACATTCGTTCATCTGACTGCTTTTACAGCTTTTTTTATTTTCATCCGTGAACTATATAAATCTCTCATTTTCAATCACCTGTTGCTGTTTAATAGCAGATGAGGGGTTTATATTTTCTAAGTTTGTGCCTGGAACTTTGTGTTGGCATATGAAACAGGGACAGAAAATTTATGTTATTAGTGAC